CCCCAAAACCCCAAAACCCCATGAGTAAGAAGTTTAGTTGATAAATGATTTATGAAATTAAGATTAAAAAATCAAAGGAATTCTTGTTTATAATAATTGTGTTTTCGATAAGTTATATTAGTTATAATTAGTTGCTATCTTGTTTCAAATGTCCTCACATCTTAAGTCTTCTTGAACTGCCTGTGAAGACAAATACTTTGAGGATTCTTTTAGATCTTTAGTTTCGCTATCAGCTACTACATCTGATTAAGACTTGGATAAATCTCCAACTATAATCGCTTTACTATCTATATTTGAACTCTCAAATTATCCAGTGTCTGAATCTGATTCTGAGATACTTGATATGGAGAGATGATGTTAAAGTTATGTCATTTTGGTACTGATATCCTTTTCAAATTTTAAGATATCACTGTTTTCTACTATAGGCTCAATTATCTTTGGAGTTTCACTCAAATTTGTTTGGCTGCTGCCCACTTGAATTACATCATCTTTAACTCTCTCATGTTCTACTGTATTTTATTATTCTTTGATTTCCCTCTCTATTTCTACAGCCTTTTATTATTTATCATCATCTGAATCCATAACAAGACACTCATCTAGGTTATCTTCGAAATTATATTTGTTATCGTAGAATCTAGTAACCTTTCTTGAATTCAGAGTGAATTTTTATTCACTATGTTTCATATCTCCAGCATTGCTGTTTTAACTTGAACTATTCTTTTAAGGTAATGATTATTTATGAGACTTTAGAATGTTAATCTCATCTTAAATTGCATTTTCTATCAAATAATTATTTCCTGCATGTTAAATTTTTCTTGCTAGTCTTTTACTAATGATAATTTTTCCATTATCCTTATCCTCATTTAGCTTATTTACTGCTTATTAAATATCATTAATTTGCTACTGATTAATTTCATTGATATCTTACTCATCGTCATCTCGATAATCACTATCAATTTAACTCCCATCTTATTCGTATTGATATGAGCCAGTTTCTGAATCTATTTATAATAATATTTTTTTGCTTTAGTTGAATATTTCAATGTTATTCTTTGATTAAGATTGCATATTTGATGTTTTAATAGAAGACTCTCTATCGATTGTGTCCATTTTACCTATAACTTTCACAGTGTTTATTCTTTTAGCTTTTCTCAATGAATTTTTTATGATGTATTATATTTTGGTAAAAGCTCTTCCTATTCTATTAGAATTAGATACATAATGATTAGATCTCAACGAAGTAGATTGATTAATTTAGGATTGATTATTTTTTTATCGTATATTATTGCTTCTTTTAAACGGATTATGCCTTAATGATTAATCTATTCTAAGTAGACCATTTTTTGTTAGCTATTACTTGTTCATTGAAAGCGACTTTGAAATATTTTCGTGTTAATTATCAAAATCTTCAACGATAGAATGATTCATTTTTGAAAAACTGGCTTCACTCTAAGTTTATAATTCTTAATCTTCATAGATATACTTATTATTTAAATAATTTGAAAATTTCCTGTCAGTAGAATGATTACTCACAAAAGTCAATTGTTTACCACTTCTTTATTTGCTATGTATTGAATTTTATCTATTTGCTTTACCAGAATAATCATTATTATTATTATTCTTTTTCAATTTTCCTAAATAATGCAAGAAATTTTACTCTGAAAAATGTATCTACAATCTCTGTATAGTTGGCTCATTTAATATGAATTCACCACTTCGATATCTATTTTTTAAATTTTTAATTATTTTTATAAATTCCAGCTCACAGTTATTACTTTCTTCAATTACATCTTACTAGCTCAATTCTTAGTTCAATTTTTTAGTGTTCCAACAAAGAAATAGAAATAGATAGATTCTTGTTAGGTTCTTCCTAAATTTAGCTCTCATTTCTGTAAATATTTTGATTGCCCAGATAAGGAAAAATAGCAAATTCGATATTAAGATAAATGAGAAAAATAATCTTTGAAGACTATCAGATAGATATAACGAGCCTCTAGAATATTAAGGATTATTTTCTATCCAAGCTTTAGGGTTGTTAAGAATGAAAAATAGTCCGCAGTATACAGTAATCATCGAAGTTATTAATGATAATGTTTCTAGATCATTCAATGAAGTAGTCTAAAAAGGTTTCTTTTAAAAGTTTAGTAGTAAATAGCTATAGAGTTAATTAGTTTTGAAATTCCTAATCTTACCAAATTTGAATTAAGAACAAGAGTAAGGCTTAAGATATCGCTCCATAATTGCTTACAAATACTGCTACGAAAACAATGATGATTTTTCTGTACATAATTACAATTTCCCAATAATAAAATTCTTTCTTAAAACCACGATAGAGGAAACCGTATTTTTGTCTAGTGATCTGGCGGTCAAGATTTTTTCTATGATTAATCAAGATAGCAAAAGCGAAAAATGGAATTCCTAGACCCCAAACCAAAATACTAGGTAATGCAACAAAATAACTCCAAAATAAATGCTCACTTTTCCAGCATTCTACCCATAAATCTTCTGATAATCTTTCTTCTCCATCAATCGATTTGCAATTAAAGCCATAGAACATGTATTAGATTATACTTGGATGAACTAAAAATAGCAAGATAACAAGGCTTGACATTATTTTGCTTTTCTTATTCTGTAATTCTTTCTTGAAATATCCAATAAGGTACCAAATGATGTAGCACCCGATTGAAAGAATAAAAGGAAGTAACGCTACAAGGATCATTTTTTAAAAGAATATTCTTGAACCTTTTTATGTTTCATTGATATCATCTGATGTTCTTTCATCTAAGAAACAATCAATACTGAAAATCTAAGTTGAAAATGTTGCAACCTTTTTAGTCTGACTAAAGAAATCAATTATTTACTATGACCATTGAAAATCCATAGATGCAGTAACCATGATTAATTAGAAATGATTGAGTAGAATTTTCATGTATATGCTCATAACATTATTTTAGTCCATTGCAGCTGAGATTGAAGTCTTGATAACAAATATTACAACCACAAGAATAGCAAGTATAATTGCAGATAATCTTAAAATATTGAAAATTTTAGAGGGACATTCAAAGCACTTAAAGTCCCCATCTCTTGAATATCCCACAGAACACTCAGAGCAAAGAATACCTTAATAACCTTATGCGCATTCACCTACTGGGTTATTCTTAGGTGGTACCATTCCAAGGCAAGCTTGTTAATACATACAAGCAACAAAAGTTGATGTGACATTATTCATTCTCCAAAACCCTGGTCGAGGACCAATATTAGATCCACCATTGCAGATTGCTTTATCTGTTGGACATGATTAACAATATCCTGGTTCAGTCATTTAAATAAGCGAAAATCCGTTTATACATTCCTAACATTTGCCTGAAACTGTGAATTATTCACCAATATAGCATAATCTTAAGGCTACATTCAAGTTTACATTAGAATCAGATTTATGTACTGAAGCTTAGTATTCCTTGACTGACTATTTATTTTAATCGATAGCATCTGATTGGAAGTTAAGAGTATATTTTGAGCCAGGTGTACCTGTAAGTTCCACATTTTAAATCAATGCGATTCCACCAATCGAAAAAAAATCACTGTTTCCTTCAAGCACTGGAGGATATTCCATTGCTTCTTCATCTAGATTCGTAGTTCTAACTTGCACCCTGACTTTACTCTAAAAATCAGATCCAACTATCTAGTTGTATTAATCTAACAAAGCAATATAGATTTTTGGAATTTCACCACCACTTTTTAGTGACTAAACTTTGGCTACTTATAGTATTTCAAAGTTAGTTAGATTATCCAAGGTATGAAGTTGTCTTTAATAAAAGTCATCTTAAGAATTTAGACCTAGCTTTATCATTTGATTCTAATAGATCTCTTAAGTAACTATTGCAATTTTCTAAGTGAAGCATGCGATATTATCTCCATATTAATTTGCTCGATTCTAAGTAAATTAGGTCATATTCTCTTAAATAATAGGTTAAATTTAGTCCCAATAAATTGCACCTCCTTAAATTTAAGCTTAGTTTTCTTCAAATATATTTGAGCCTGTTAGATTCAATTTACAATTCTCAAATGTTGAGCTGCAAGTGTAGTAGATTGCTCCTCCTGACCCCTACTTTTTAAGAGTTGAGCTATAGCCATTTAAAGCATAATTCATCTAAAATCTAGAGCTAATTATTTAGACAGATTACGGATTTTCAAAGGTAATAGCTCCTCCTTTGTAAGCAGAACAATATTCAAAAGTTGAATTCTCAATGACAAATTTTCTGTTTGTTTCTTGATCTGTTTTACCTTTATTAAGATCCACATCTAAAACATAAATAGCTCCTCCTTAAATACCTCTTAGATTATTCATTTCTGATTTAAATATTCTCATTCCTTTACATTAGTTGCAATTGATTCCCGCTCCATTTTTAAGATCTTTTGCAGGTGTAGTAGCTGAAATATTTAGATTTTCTGCATCAAGATATGCTTGTTCAATATATATAGAATTTTTTGCAGATGCCTTTTAAATTTTAACATTGTTGAGAGTTATATTATTTATTGAGTTTGATGCATGTAAATCCTCACCCATTTCAATAGCTTAATTATTTGAGAATTCTGTTTTATTACCAATGTAAATACTTTCAAAACCTGAAGCATAAATGGCGCCACCATTGGAAGCATAGTTATTTAAGAATTCTGATTCTTAAATATAAATATAACTGTTTCCAGAATTATATATAGCACCTCCGTTACTGGAAACTCCTCCATAAAATCTTGTCTTATAAATATCAATAGAAACATCAAATATCAAGAATAAAAATGTTCCAGTTGTTTAATAATTTCTAATTTATATCTATTTAGGGTCTTAATATGTTTAGTAAAAATCGCAGCCTTATATAGTAATGTTAGTAAATCCGCATAAAATATTCTTAGATCTTTAATTAGCTTAATTGTTATGAAATTAAGAATTTTCAATCCAGACACTCGAATACATAATCGATATTGTGTTCTTCTCAGACTAGTTATCTTCAAAGATACTATTCTTAATTGTAACATTTGCATTAGCTTTAGATCTTAAGATTTCTATTGCAGAGTTTTCAGATGCTTTATTTTCGTAAAATTATGATTGATCTATTTGCAATATTGAAGAGGTTGAAAGATAAACTCCCCCACTGGTTGTTTAGGCTTAATTCTGTTTAATCAAACATTTGAAGAGAATTAATGAAGACTCTGATGCTAAGTAGATTGCACCGCCAACTTTCGCTAAATTGTTTAAGAACTTTGACTATACGATGATTGCATTAGATTGTTGAACATTAATTGCTCCACCGTAAAGTCCAACATTATTTTAATAAAGAGATTAGAAATCTGTAAAGTTAGATCTATACAAGTTGATAACACCTCCTTAGGATGAAATACCACATTATGTAAATTGATTATTTCTTGAGGTGAAAGCTTTTGCATTGCTTAGACTTAATACTCCTTTTGTATTAGTTGTCAATTATGAAGATTAGAATTACTGAAGATTAATTTCATTGGTGCTGCTTGAATCACAAAGAATCACAGTATTAGTAATTTTCATTTCTATGTCAGTTGCAGTGCTCATCATAAAGCCACCATCATTAGATTAAAAGCTTTCGAAATTTGAGTCACTAATATTGATTTACTTAGCATTGAAAATATAGAAAATTCCTCCTTCCTCTGTTGAGGAAACATACTTTGCTGAAATATTGACTATATTCATCACTAGATAAATATTGTCTGTAAAAATTAAACCTCCAAATCTAGCAGTATTTCTTCGTAATTGACTTGTATTCGTAATGTTGAAGTTAGCCTGTTAATAATCATCTTGCCTTGATTTTTCAAAGAATATTAGTCCTCCTTGATCTAAAAATTATGTAAAATAATAAAGTTTAATCATACCTGCGAAATTGTCATTAGCAATAATAGAAATCAAGATTACAGTAATATTGCTGTCAAAATTCAAAGCTCCTCCACTATTTTAAGCAGTATTATTCTTAAAAGTTGTATTCTCTAGTTTACAAAAGCTGCTATGACATGCCAATGCACCTCCTTTAATGGCCCCATTGTATTCAAATATTGAGCTGTTATCAAAAAAATTAGAAAATTTGACCATTATTGGAGACCCTTCTTGTTTGCAATTTCTAAAAACTACATTTTGTGTCTTTAATTATCCAAACGAGTTAGCAAAATATACTAGCCCATTTTTATTCGCAGTGTATTGAGATTAAGGTCTATTGGAATCATCAACGCATTCAAATAGAAAGTCTTGTATGCTCAAAGTAAGATTTTGATTTTCCTATGAGATAAGACCTACATTTCCTGTAGATTTGAATCTTCTAATATAATTCTTTTTATTTCCTTCTGGAGTAATAAGGATTTGACCTGAAAATAGATTTATGAACAATAAAACAGCTGAATCAGTAGAAGTAATATCCTGACAGTATATACCTTATAGTCTAAAAAATGGCATTAAGTTGCTAGAATTTAAGTAGATAATCGCTCCTTAAGCATTTGATGTTAGATTAGTGACAGAAATGTTTGTAATTGTAGCATTTCTAGATAAAGTAGCCCTTAATAGCCTTATGGCACTACCAGTTTACTACTTTATATTTCTGAGATGGATATTCTTCATTACTAATTGAGAGCCTTGATCATTAATAAAAGATTCCTTTATACTATCAACATCCTACACTGTAATATTTTCAATAAGTAAGTTGTTGATTCCATAAGTAGAAAGACATCCTCCTATTTTTATATTCTTAAATTTACTATTGGTAATGATTAGAGTAACGACAAATTAAAATGATGATGTTTGTATAGCATATTAGTTAACATTACAGTTTTGGATAGTCAAATTGTTAAAAATTGCTGAATTCATATTACCTAGCTCAATTACGCTTTACATTGTCAACTAAGTATTGTAAGTAGAAATAGTCATCTAAAGTATTCTTTTAGGAGTGAATTAAGCATAGTAATTGTCTCTACATTCAATTACAGTATTGTTAATTATTAAATCTTTTACGCTTGTTGACTTCATTAAAGAGGTTGGACTGCCAAATAAATTAACTCCATAGAATCGATTGATAGTTAATGAATTCACAGTCGTAATATATATCGCTCCATTAATTGGAGAAATTGTTAAGTTAGCTTAAATGTCCTCTAGGAGTATATCTGTATACCTGTTACTAAAAACCCCTAAGCCCCCATAGACTGATGATGTATTCTAGATATTTAATCCTTAAATTTAAAATTTCAAATTAGTTTTTGGAGTCTTTGTCCCTAAACATTGTCAATATAAATGAGAATTAAAACTTACCATAAGATGAGGGATATTCTTAAACTAGGAAAAAACCATAGAAATATGCAGTGGCGTTTTAGACTGTCAAGTTTTTAAAATATAAATTCCCCTGTTAAATTTCAATGATATAACCAGAACCCTCATAGGCAGCTTAAGTATTGTAAATTTATATAGAGTTAAATTCAGATTCTGGTTATAAGGCTGAATAAAATACTCCACCATAGATAGCGTAATTAGAATAGTAAATTGTATTATTTTCAAGGAGTTTTGTATTAATTAAAGATACTGCTCCTCCCCAATAAGGGAAGTAGCAATTAGAAAAAATGTTACTTTCCAAACTTAATTGTTTCCCATTTTCAATATACAGAGCTCCAAATGATCTAACAGAATAAAAAGGATCATATATAGATATTCTATTGAATGGCTTAACATTTTGATCAAAATATGAGTTAGAGATGTAAGCTTAAATACCAACAGATCTAATAGCTGCAAATGACCCATTCGTTGAGTTGAAGAGCATGAATATAGAATCCTAGATATGAATCTTATCTGCTTATAGAATATAAATGACTCCTCCGTATGATGTTGCTGTAGACAGTACATAACTATGAAATTGGCTTTTAAGATTTTCAATGTAAAATTCTGAGTAATTAGCATTAATAAAATAGCATCCACCTGTCCTTGTTGCTTATGTGAAATTAAACTATCCACCACTCACTTTTAAATATGGAAATTAAGTTTTTTCAAAGCTTAAGCTTGAGCTATCACTTCCATCGATTGCTGATAAATTTTTATTCGCTGATAAGTCATTTGATAAAAAGTACAGAAAGCCTCCATCAATATAGGCAGAACTATTTCTGACAGTTATGTTATTAAGTTAAATTTAAGAGATCTACTCGGCATAGATAGATCCGCCTAAGTTAGCAAAATTATTTCTCAAAGTTGCAGCTTTTATATCCAATTTGCAATATTTGCAATAAATTACTCCACCTTGTTATGCAGAATTATAGCTATAATGAGAGTTTTAAGAGTCATAAAATGTAGTATTTTCGAGATAATAAGCTCCACCTTAAGGTGATTGATAGCAATTCCTAATCTAATTGCTAGCAGATGCCACATACATAGCATTTTTAATAAAAACTGGAGTCTTTTTTGTTGGCTGGAAAAAATTAATGATAACTGGTAGAGTTCTTAGGTATTCTAAGGTATTATACTTGCTATCATAAGGACTTTAAGTACAATCTATTGTTGTATGAGAAATATTCAAAGTGGTGTTTCCTACAGAGTAGATAACTGATCCAGTTTATACATTCGAAATATTTGAACCTTTCAAGAATATTTATTAAGCTCTTTCAAGATACATTAAGGAACCGAATTATGATGAGATACTGTTCATATCTAGTTTTCCTGAAATGTTTATTTTTAGATTTGGGTTATTTGCATATATTAAGCCTCCATTTCCCTATAGGTTGATTATTGATTTAGCACTGTTGTTTTCATTAATATTTAGATTTTATTGAGACTCACTTTCCTTCAAATAAATCATAGATCCATTGTTTATCACTGTGATGTTGCTAGCTTAAATATTTGAAATTTCTATTAATGCTGATCCAGAATTTAAATAGAAAATTCCACCATTATTGGCTAGCACGCTACTATAATTGCTGTTTGAAATAGATATATTCTTAGATTAAATGTGATATATACCTCCATTAATTGCTGATATGTTTTAATAACTCGAATTAATATCCTAAAAAGTTTCACTTTAGCCCACTTAAAATATTGAACCATTTTATGATGTAAAACAATTAGTGAATATATTTCCTGAAGATTGTATATTATTAGCATTCTCAATGTTTATCAAACTTTTTGAAGTTGCTTATTAATTTAAGATACTTGATATTAAGCTGTTGACATTGAATAACTGAGGATCCTTACAGTTGAATGAATTATTAATAAAGTTAAATGAAGTCTGCTAGAGTGGAGAGCTTGAACCAAGGAATTACATCAAATCTTGCATAGAATTGATATGCGAGTTAATTATATTGACTTATTTAGCTTGCTTAATGTCAATAAAGGGAGTATTTAAATCTTAGTCAAGTGCTAAAGTCATATTATCTATTGTTAAATTCATTAAAGGATTCTCTAACTACAGATATTCCTACAAATATTAGTAATCACTCTGTTAATTAATTTTGAGATTAAATCCTTTGAGGGTAGTATGTTAAAGTCCTCCTTCTACTATTGAGATAATTTCTCCATTTTAAGAGGATTAATCTAGTTTTCTTCTTTAATTTTATTCTAGGCTCTTTTGATTAATATAGGTCATAAGCTATGAATTGATGTCGGAAATGTTTAAGAAAACTAGAATAGGAAAGTCTTATTGGATTTGATGATCATTGTCAGTTAAATTTTAGTTTTAATCGTTATCTCTACTAAATCTTAGCAATATTTTACTCGCATTTTATAGTATTTGTAATTAACTATCTAAATCTATTTCTTATTGTTAACAATTTATGATTAAAGTTTTGTTAATGTCTAGTAGCATCTTTAAATCTGATTCATTAAGAAACTATGATATTGACTTCAAACTTTATAAGGAGATTTTTGTATCTATAAAAATGATGCTTGAGTTTTAATAGAAGTATACTTACATGTGCAATTAGAGACATTATCCTCACATTAATTTGAATAAATTATCATTTGATCTTGTAATTAAATTATGTCTTCAATGCTAAATTTTAAGCATTCCTCAGTCTGATTAGAATTATTAGTTGTATAATTGGAAAGGAAGGATATTGGTAATTCAAATTAATTTTAATTAGCGATAGTGGATATCAAATCTAAAGCTCTATCAACTCTTGATTTTTCATTTAACATTACTCCCTGATATTCTATTTCATTTTGCTATGCAATTTAGAAATTTTCAAGCAAGTTAGAATTATTTTTCAACATTCTGTTATTATTTTAAAAGCATTCCAGAATATTAGTAGGATTTATTTGTAGTTTTATCATTTTCTTATCGATTTAATGTTCTTTTAAATTTGTCCATTAGAAATCAAAATTGCATCAAATACTAACACCCTTATCTTTGATTTCATCTAACAATAAAAGTTAATTACTGTAATGTACCTGAGTTATTATGTGCCTTTAACTAAGATAAGTTTAGCATCTCCTCTAAAAATTAAACAAAATAATTTTACATGAGTATTCACTGAATAGATTTTTAGTGTATATCCCACTGATATACATTAAAATGGAATAAGCAAAGAAAGCAAATTTCAGCATATTTAAATCTATTTAATTTTATTTAATATATCAGTATCTAATTGACTTAAATAAATTATCTTTTTCTCAAAACTAGCTTTAATATCTTGGCGGGGTTTTGGGGTTTTGGGGTTTTG